ATATGTCCGGGTGTACGTGCCCACCGTGGTTTGTCACCTGCCAGAAAAATAATGATAAGGGTGTTCGTGTGTTGTCGCAGATAGGAACCGTTATCCCGGATTGGGTACATGGTTGATCCACGGGGCTCGGGGCGCTGGGGGGGTGTAGGGGTCCACGCATGCTCCCTCTCACTCTCTTTCTCTCTCTCGCTCTCCCATTGCGCCTCAGAGTGTTGATCACCCCTAGCAGTACAGTGGTATATATGAGACAAACGACCCCCCCCCCCCCCCCACCCCCAAACCCCCTCATGGCGCTACTCCTGTCTCTTGCTGGAACTCGACCTCCGCTTCAGTCCTTTTTGCACCAAGAACGGCAACAGCGCCGGCTCCGGGAATGGCAGTGGAAGCAGCAGCGAGATCTGCAGCAGAAGCAATACGGCCAGCAGCAACAACTTCTGCAGCTGCACAAGCAACAACTCGAAACGCTCCAATCCCTTCAGCAGCAACACCGGCGACGTCAACAGCAGCAACACAAACAGCAACAGCGGCACCAACGACAATGCCGCGAGGAACGCAACACAAACCTCTCCATACAACCGTCAGGTGCAGCGTCAGGCGCGAGATCGGGTCACGCGCCACCTATGGCTGACGTCGTCGATCTCTCCGCGACGCTTTCCCCCTCTACGAGACAGCTACCCCCCGAGGTATGTATCATTCTTCTGAATATTTCGTCTACTTTGCCTTGCTGATAGCATGCCGGGTATGACAAGGAGAGCGGCCATTGGTGCGAATTCATTACGGCAGGCTACGATCAGGCGCACATGCTTGCGCTCGCGGTGACAGATGAGTTGTCGGTTGTGCTATGTAGTTGGGTTTATGCTCCTCACGATAAGACCCCGGATACCCCGGAGCCAGTGCCGTCCGTCAATCTCAACTCAGAACTTGGTGCCTGATCCCCCTCGTAGCCGAAACCTTTGCATTTTACACCAATTTTTTCAGTTGCAGCAACATCGCCCTGTGCAGGAAGCGGCGATACCCCCCTGTCAGCAATGGCCCCCGCCCCGGCCATTCCTTTCTTCCCGCGATGACGCCGATACAGCAGTACCGGTACGGAAATCGAGTGAAATCAAATGTCGTTCATGCTTGCCTACAGTAAATCGCACCCCATGGCGATGACTCCAATGGGTGCCATCACCCTCTTCTTTAATGTTTGGGTATGTCGTTATGCCGAGTTCAGGCGTCTATGCCCTCGAGGATGCTGTCACCCCTTCAACGTTGGGGAGCACCCAACAACATGTTTCCAAGCAGCGGCAGCGGCAGCGGCAGCGGCAGCGGCAGCGGCAGCGGCAGTATCGACGGTATCGACGGTATCGACAGCGACAGCAGCGGCAGTGGCAGTGGCTCAAGTGGAAAGGCTTCCTCTTCCCCCCTACATCTGCAGGTGGTTGACTGGGACGGATGGGTTAGAGGTGATGCGGGGGGTTGACCAAAGTGGCAACGGTTGTGACGGTCGCGAAAAACAACGTCGACGTTGATAGAGCCCCCTGTTGGAAAACTGACCGGACCATCGCCTTTCGTTTGGGGGAAACCCCCATGAGTCGAGTGTTTTGAAACTATTGATGAGTCGAGTGTTTTGAAACTATTGTCCAGCATGATTCGAAAGAGACAACAGGAAGAGGGGGGGGGGGGTTCCGGAAGAGGGGA